GGTCAGAGTGTTCGCCAATAGGCACAGACATGGTTTGAAAAACAACGGGTTGGTCTCATGAACATTCTTCCGATGGTTTTTTTTAGACTAAATTACACATTTAATCTCACATTTAGTCTGGTTTATCAGGCTAGCATTCTGTCTTTTATATTTGAATTTGGAGACGAGTGCGTTTTGTTTCCCTTCATAAGATAATCAGATTGTTGCTTCTCAAACCCTGCAGCCTGACCTCAGAAGGCAAAACAAAAGCTCACCGGCAGCAAAAGAGGGAAGTCACTTAGCTCAGCTTTGCATTCAGTAGCTGTTGCTCCATAAAACAACACAAGAGTAACAATAGGAACAAAATATGTATTGTTGATCATATGCAAATTAGAGCCCAATAAAGTACAATAAAAGTGACAGCCCTTCACTGGTTGGACAGACACACTTCTTATCCCACCACTGCAACGTTTTCTGTCTCCAGCTGCTGTTAGTAATACACGCTCACAAAACAGTGGCTTATTTGCATAACAGACAGTGATATAGCGTCGGTACAAAGAAAACACAGTTGATGACAGGTCATATTGAACATTAACTTACTAAATGCAAATAGCAAAAGGTACACATACAAGGACAAAAGTGAAAAATATGACCTCGGGTAAAGATAAAGTTTTATTATTAAGTTGTAAACCGTTCCATTTTTGTCATTACTCTGATGTTAAAATTAGCTATGAAGTCAAATGAATCCATGCCTAATTTTAAGCTCTGTTCTAAATGCACGTTATGTTTCATGGCTGTTGTAAAATGCAAAGAGATGAGAGTCTGTATGCAAACAGTTGTTTGTTCCCTGTGTTTGTCCTGTGATAAGAGTGTGGGTCCGTTTTAGGTGTAAAGTAACTCTGGTTTCTTGAATTAGGGGATCAGTCTAGACAACAGTGAGTGAAAATTGAGTTTAGGCAGCAGTAGGATATGATATGTTAATCAAATGATAAGATATGATAAATATAGATTCTTTTTCTTCATCGTCTCTCACCTTGAAGGCCGTGTAGCGATCATCCATGGCATGTTTAATGAGGAGGTTCTTGAGTATGCTCACGGCCAGCTGTCTGACCTCAGGTCCCTGCTGCAAGGCCTCAGCTATTTCTCTCATCAAGAGACCAACCAGGAAGTGATTCCTGCAGTATTCCTCTGTCAGGCTGAACTCCAGACTCTGTTCTGTGTTTGGGCCAGATGGGAAGTATTAATAAAGGGTGGAGGAAACATCAGCTCAAAAAAGACAGAAAGAAAACAAAACGAATGCATTTGACAATACAAAGTGCTGGTTACATTCAATTTCAGAAGTTTGCAAGGAAATGGACTCAAAGAACAATGCTGTTTATAAGACATAAAGAGGTCCTGACACCTTACAGATAATACTATGACCTACTCAAAGTACAGACTCTGATTAAAATAGAGAGCCTTGCAGAGAAAAATATTTGTAAACTTCCAAATATTAAAGCAATTAGAGCTATTAACACCGTGACATTTATTACTAAGAACAGCTCTGCACCCTTCTAAGTATAAAGATGAATCTTTTCTTAAAACTTTTTCTACATTTTCATAGAGCTTAAACTTGTAATACCATGGTCGTATATCAGATGTTGTTCTGCTCCTGTGGTTGTGTTCATGTCAACTCACAATTACAAGAACTAAAAGTATTTGGGTTCCTTATTTGTCTTTTTACCTTTTGAACATTTAAAAAAATAAATAAATGAAACAAATAACCCAAAAAACATACATTGACTTATGAAAGAACTATGGTGATTTCTCAACGGCTGCCATGTAACACGGATGCAAACGGTAAATAGAACAATCATTCAAAGTGCAACACTGCAAACCAATGTGCAACAGATCAAACAAAAACACATCAAATCATTTCCACAAATATGAAAATGAGCAGAAACCCAAAGAATCTCTATATAATGAGAGTATTAGGGAAGTACTGATGCTGGAATTTGTTTCATATCATCAAAAAAGATCAAAGATCCACTAGAATGGAGAAGTTGTCTGTTATGTTAATACTAGAGGAGCCAAAGCCTGAAAACTAAGCAACTATCTGCACTTATCTTAGCCACTGCTGGAGGCAAAGAGAGAACAATATGCAAAGTGAAGAGACTTAGAAAGCAAGAGAGAAAACCACAACTCATTAAGAGATGTTTTAAGCCTTTGTTTATAAGTTGAAAGTCAATTAGGGATAAAGAAAAGAGGCTTGGTTCATTCCCTTAACAGCAGAGCGCTTCTCCACTGCAACAAAGAGGCCCCACAAGCTGCAGCCCAGCATGAGCAATGTTTAGGGTGAGTGGAAGAGATGAGCGCCGTAAGAGGAAAGGAACGCCTATGGTGGGCAGGAGGGTTAATGTCAGTCAGAACAGGAGCGGCACGGCGGCAAACGTGGTGGGTGTTACAAAGAGGTGGGAGTTACCTACCTACAGGGCCAAAAAGCTCCGTCGCATACGGAATTAAATCTGACCACAAGCGAAACACACACACATATAAAAAACAGAGAGGGTGGGGTGAAGTGAAAATAAAGAATTTTTGGGGTACACTGTAAAAAATCCATGCAACGTTTCCTCCATCACACAGCTTGCTTTTTACTCAAGGTGTTGCAAAACTAATTTCTGATACATTTGCTATTCTGGGTCTGAGTCATGGCAGGGAGGTTTGAGGTGCCATTTGTCAGGCAGGTTCACAGAGTGCATCGGGAGTGGTGCGTGCAGGTTAGAACAAATGTTTGATATCTAGTCAGTGGAGCTCAAAGTGGTTTGTAGCGTTTGTATGCTCACCTTGCACTCTCTGAAGTTTGGTTCGGCCAAACGCCATGGGCAGGTTCAGCGGGATGAAGTGCTCGTGGTTACACACGGCCATGAGGAACTCAAACTTCATTTCTGTCAACACCTGGAAACAGGAATTGGCAACACATAAGCTCAGTACACAAATATACAAATGTCTTTCACCACTCACCTTGTGTAAATACAATTGTTTAAAAACAACCTGGAGGTCTGCGTTTCCTTTAGTTTGTTAACCAAATTTGAGGCTCATGTACAAATAAAAAAAAAAAAATACGAGGGCAGACTACAAAGTTAAATTAAGAACTTTTCACCCATAACAGGTTATGCATGTCTGAAGAGGAAGTAAAAATAAAGCACCTTTGGATCTTTCAGACTGAAGTGGCACATGTAGTGGTTGACCAGGCCGAACGCAAAGCCTCTGTTCATGAACGTCAGGCACCTCTGAGTACAAAAGACAGACAGCAGATGTCAGAACCGTTTCCCTGCAATCTCTCACAAACCATTAATTTTTAAACACATCACTGTTGTGTTATGATCCAATTTTTATAGATTCAAAATGTATTGCACAATAAAGAAGGAAAAGGAAATAAAGTTGATCAATCTGTGATTCATATACCAGTTTATCAACTTTAGGCTAAAAAAGAGGAAATGCAAAAAAAAAAAAGAAAAGAAAGAGATAGCTATCATGTTTTGCATGTGGGATACAGACCTTAATCAAACTGGCCAGGCTCAAGTTGATGCATCTCGCTTCCTCTGGGATTTCCATGTGGCGGATGGTGATGTGAGGCATGATTGACAACACCAGGGATTGGAGCGCCTGGTGAAAACTGTCAGGGAAGCGTTGGGACCGTGGCATCTGAAGACACCGACATGACAGTTTGTCATTTTAATGAATTAATTCCATATGGACGGTACATTAATGATATTTTATACATATAAAATGGACACATCAAATTTACAAAAGGAAAAATATACTTGATATTACCAAAACAATAGCTGATCAGGTTGTATGATCTGGTTGAACTGTAAAGTGCCTTGAGATGACATGTGTTGTGAATTTGGCGCTATATAAATAAACTGTATTGAATTGAATCAGACTATTTGCAAATAAAATATTCTAGCACCATAAAGAAATCCTCAAGTTTGGACATGATTTAGTGTAAGCTGCCATGTGAAACTAGTGTTTTATGAGGCAGTTGCCAAGGTAGCCAACAGCTACCGGTACATAAAAACAACTCAGAGGATGCCTTGTAGACATCAGTTTAATATATCTGGTTTGGAATTAGGTTATTGTTTAATGCCAATCCTACGAGAGGCGTTCATTCAAGATGTTTGATCAAAACGAAACTTTACATGTGTAATTATTTATATCTGTATAGATTAAGTGGCAAATCACAGCTTTGAAAGAATTGTGGTTTAGTTTTTGTATTTGACAAAAAAGCACAACATGGGAGACTTTTGATGACATGAAAGTAAAAATGATGGTGATGATGCCCCATCATATGACTTTTTAAAATGTTTTGCAAGGTCATATGATGAGGCATACCCATCATAAGCTACTTTCATTTCATATAAAGTCTTCCATGGCGTGCGTCTTTTCAAATACAAAAAGCGGATCACTGCTCGACACTCAACAGAATCCATTTCAGACTCGACTCAGTTCAAACACCTGTAAAACAGAAACCACAATTGGTTCAGAGCTGTAATTTGCCTCATAATCTATAGAGATCTAAATAATTGCACATGCAAAGTTTCAGCTATATCAAACAAATGGAAGTTGGTCAGGGGCATTAATAATTGAACGCCCCTGACCTTGAGAATTGTTTTAGTGAGTCGATGCATTACACCAGTCTTTCTTTGAACCTTTGGTTTACCTGGAGGGTGCCCATTTTCAAAGTATACATACTACACTTCCTTCTAAAATGTGTTGATAAACTCATCTTAACCTGGAAAATTCTAAATTCAAAATTTTCACTGTGTCATTAGATGGTGGAAAGTCAGACGTGAAAACAGACAACTTGACTTTCCGCCAGTGTTTCACAAAACATCCCAAATGTACATAGTAACTTTGTGGTTTCTCTATCTCTTTTATTTAAACCCGAATTTTATGAGCATCTTTGATGTTTAAACTCAAAAAAGACAGTTTGAAATTCTGATACTTTAAAGCCATTCGGGTTCTTTAACCCGTGGGATTCACAATGTAAGCAATAATTTTATTTCAAAGTAAACATTAAACAAACGGGGACAAAAGTAGCACTTTTAAAGTTTTTCATCAGAAGCTGAATTTTTCAACAATAATACATCTACAGAAAATCTATAGAGGTGCAAATAAAAGTATATGTTTTACAAAGGATACAAAATCAATATATAAATAATTATGTTATACATTTTGAAGGTTTCAAAATATATTAACATTTACTCCGGGTTATAATGCCAAAATTGATGTGAAAGAATTCTGCATCAATAGCAAAAGTTGGTTGAATCATGTGAGATTTAAGGAGCTCAGGCACTTCCAGTCCCATTAGCTCCTAAATCGCTCAGAGAAATGGCCTCTTCAAAAAGAAGTGTGATCATCGGTCAAACTTTTAAGCGACTGTCGACTCTAGGAATCGAAGAGACAAAGCACCCGAAGGTTTCCGCTTTTCTAATGAACTGCTGCGCTAAATGTTTGGTTTGGTTAGTTTTAGCATCAGTGGACCTGAAAACAACTGAACAGAAGGAGCGCAGACGAGCAGCAGTGCACCACCAACTGGACAGGAGAAGATAAACCTGTAGCTATTGTCTTTAAGATAATAAAATAAAAAAATTAAAAACCTAAAACAGTGGAAACATAAAGACAGACATTTATGCAGGCAAACTCTAAGTAGTAGATGACGATGACTTTATGAACTTCTATGCCATTAGCTTACTTAGGGTTTAGGGTAAAAAATGGTACCCTGTTACCGGTAGTTTATCATATATTATTTTTGTTTTTACAACTTTTGTTCAACCTCTGTTATAGTACACTTAAACATTTGAGTATTTACAACAAATTGAGACAATTTAACAAGTGAACAGGAGAGTTAGCTTCCCGGCGCAGGTATGGAGACACAAGAGGAAATGTCCGAGGGCAAGTGTGAAAAACCCAAAAACTATTGGATGCAAAGATGGATAAGGCACAGTATAGTCAGAAAACAATTAGGACCTAAAGCTTCTTAAAGATGATTCTGCACATGATTGAACATGGATGTAATTTTGGAGGGTACGAGGGGAGACATGTCCTCTGCACTTTTTTTAAACGTCAATTTTTGTCCTCGCACGTTTTACTGTCCAAAAACAATGTTTCACTGCAGTACACACACATTCAGCAGGCACTAGGACCATGCAGAAAACTGCGGCTCAAACTGAATCCTGCTTCCCTGAGTTTAGACCGCCAAATAAGCTCCTGATTTGTCCACTGTCTTTTCTTGTGTGATTGTCTGTCCCCGCTGTAACTCCCACCTTATAAACATCTGATGCGCCACTGAATCAGGCCTGTGATTGGATAGTGAAACAACTGAAGTTAGTTATATTTAAAAAAATACCTGTGTCCCGCCCACTTCTGAAATCAAAATTTCATCAATGGTTTTGAAACATGAGCACTGAGAACAGCCAAGGCCGCCCCAACCTAAACCCCGTACACACGTGTGGAGGCCCTTATCTTTCAGCGGAGGGGCCACAGTTTGCGCAAGGTACCGCATTTGCGCGATGGATGTGCCATGTAGTGCATATACCGAGAGGCAGAGGAGAAAAAAAGACACCACCTGTAATCTGACCGCGCAATGACAGTCAGCACTCCACATCTCACCAATCAGATGGCGGTGAGCGTGCGGGCAAGCTCTCCCCTGCAGTGCTGCAGAAGATTAGATTTTAACATGTCGTCCACGCGACTTGGCGACACAAACACCGAGTTATTACTCAATAGATAGAGATCTGTTTTTCCAGTTTCTGTGTAAACAATTAATTTTAATGATGAACATTTATCAAAAACCTTGTTAACGCCTTATGCCTCTGTTGAAGAAGAGTAGGCAAGAAAAAGACCAGTTGGGGGTCGTATATAATTTATATCCTGTAGCAAATACATAATATATTGGCGAAAGTTTTATATGAATTTATGCTGTTAAGACGTTTTTGGCTTTTTATGGAGATAAATGTTCTTATTTGTCCATATATGAATTCACAACAGTCATCTTTTGAGGAGACTACAGAAGAACACTGATTGAAATGAGTGTAACGGATGTAGTTATTGACAGAAGGAACTGAACGAATGTAAATTTGATATCAGTCTATTTGACCCTGAATTCTATTTTCTTAAGACTGTAATTCATAATAATAATAATACAAAAAAACAAAAAAAATGTATTAATAGAGAGCAATAGTAGTTTTTGTGAATATTAGTAGAATAGAAATAGTAGTACTAAAAGGCCCCGGTAGTAATGGTGCTAGTAGTAGTTGTACTATTGTATAATAGATGCTGATTGCAAAAATTTTTAATTTCCTTTACTTTATAAATAAACCGATTTGAATTGAGACTCAGTTGATTTTCACCTTTTTCGTTTTTCTATATACAAGTGATGGATATTAAAAGTAGAGTAGTAGTTTTTTATCATGGTTCTTGTTGCTGCTGTTATTATCATCAGTTGAGGTATTTTCATTAATTGCTCTTCAGTCTATTAGAGGGTGATATTTACGTTTACCAGTGAGACTTAAACATATTTTAATCTGCTTGTCTGGGTTTCTGCCATAACAAGGTGAATGCTGAAAATTGTCAGCACATCAGCAGGACCATCAGGAAGCACATTTAGATGTACAGGAGGGCCTTCAAATAACTTTTCGCTTAGGGCCCCCATTAGGTCAATGGGGTCAAACTTAGGTCAAACTCTAACCTTCTCCCACTAAGAAACCTTTCCACTCCACATGATTGTGAAAACAGGCACATCTCATAATACAAGCATTAAAAGGATTCCTGTGAAGAACTACAGACAATTTTCGAGTCTAGATTCAGCCCAGCAAAGCTCTCCACCTCAACTAGGCCGATCCGAGATCAACCCGAGCTCTTTGGCCATCCTTGCATTCAACTCTCTCTTTTCTTCCTCAGTTATGACCTTTTTAGGCTGTTTTGCTGTACTTGCAGTGACGGCCAGCAGATGCATCACAAGTTTCCCTTTATTCAGTGATTCTCCGTTTACACGCACTGTGAGACAGCAACCCTCGTTAGAAAACTGTAACCTCTCAGGTTACAGTTTTCTTCAGGTTAAGAGAAGCCTAGACATGAAACACCTAGACTTTTTTTTTTTAGAGAGGTTAAAATAAAATCAAGTACAGGGCTTTTAAAGTTATAATGGAGGGTTTTCGAGAATTTTTTAAAAAAGACACGCCTTCTGCACTTGGAAAAAAAAAGGGAAAGTAAAGCCCTGTACCCGCTCCTGAGAGGCAACTATTATTACACGCATGCAAAAGAGCCCAATTCTCCCTGTGCACGGCCAGTTAAAATGTTGCTGTTTGCATTGCTTATACAAGCTTTCTAAAAGATTTGCAATATTTCCACTATGTCAGACTCACCATCGGTGAGTGAAAATGGGGACGAGCATGTGGGATGGCCTGTAAACATATCACCGGAATGATTTATGATTTATTTTGATGATCCACCCGGAAAAAAGAACAGTCTCAACTACTATACCTTTAAGTTGCCAAGTTGATAGTTGTGTGAATAAGAACTGCCAGTAGATGGCAACGGTAAACAACAATGTTTATGTCTGCTGGTAGCCCAGGGTGCAACAAAAATATTTTCATGCTCAAAAAGTACTTTATTGCTTCACCATAACATGAGCATTTGATCTTTGGCTGTTTTCTTTATAGTAGTAGAAGGTGACAGGGCCTCTTTTTTGCCCTTTCTTTTAGTGAATCTTCAGCTTCCTGCTTTAAAATGTTGCAAAGATAAAACCCAGACACCTGACAGTGCAATGTACAGTATGTAAATGAGTAATAACCCACTGGGATTCCTGAACAGAAGGTTAATTAAAGTAAGATGACATCTGTGTTTTTTTAAGTCACATCACATTAAGCTTGTTGCATCTTTTAAGAATCGCTCCAGAAATAGACACCTGGATGTGGGGTGCTACTTAATACCAACCTTTATGCGGTTCCCCTCTTGCAGGTACTGGGCCATGGATTTTGCCATGGTTTCAAAGAAGAACCATGAATACTGGAAATACAGAGATTAAGATGGAAATGTCAGAACTCATCTGAAGTTCCTCCTACGCAGCCTTCCTAAGAAGAAGAGTCACCACAAACGGGGAAATAATAATGGGAAAATACCTACAAGACAGAGGCTACAGGCAGAAGCATGTTTGAGGATTGTTACATTGCAGTGGCTGCAGAGACTAAGATTTCAATGTAAAGATGCCTCCTGCTGTTCAAAGCTGGTACTGCACCCATAATAAGTCTTAAAATACCTTTAGGAGTTTATTGCTGGTGTTGAAATCCGCAGTTTGCTTAAGGGTGGTTGTAACAGCAGTGGCCAGCACCTCATGAGTGGTCGCCGAGGTTCCTGCTGCCGGAGCGTTTGTCACAAAGACATACTGAAACAAGAAATGCAGACAATGATCTTTACACTCTTTCTGGTGACATGAACAAGTGCAGGAATTTGCAGGTAGATTGTAAGTCACCTTAACGAAGGAGCGAAGGTAGTGTTCCAGTCCCTCCTCATGACATTTGGACACTATATGTATAATTACACTGAAAACAAAGAGAGTAAAATCTTACTGCTTTGAGCATTTAACCCTTTATATTGCTAGTTACCATTTTTGATCACTTGCATACCCTTTTTGTATCATTTGTTTGAAGCAAAAATGACTAGATTTTGTTTTTTTCCAGTGTAAAAAGTTAACAAGCCTAGTTACAATGATATTTAGGTTTATGAACTAAAAAAAGTAAGTGCCAGTATCAGCATTAATGCCTCTAAGGTTATGTTGGACCAAAAAAAAAGGTTTTTCTTTCACTCTCAGAGTGTTTTTAATGAATTTCTTATAGAAGCACTTTTGCAATTTTTCTTAATATATTCGGGAAAGTTGGTGTTTCTAGTTACCATTTTTGCCATAAAAAATATCCATATTTTTTGAATGTTACAAGTTATAAGTTATAAGGTCTTGTCCTGGGTTCCAATAAAACTATTGGCTTGAAATTTTTTATTTTAAAAGGATTTCACTGAGCACCCTATAAAGGGTTAAGGAAGTAAACAGACAAACACATCAAGTCAGCCAATCAAACAGCAGTGAGGTAAACTGGTTGTAGAGGCGGAAAAAAACAACAGCAACATGATTCCATCCTGTCTTTAATCAACAGTGAGGTTAGAGATGGTAACGGTGTAAAGCAGCATTAACTCAACTCAACATCCTACTGAACTATAGCAATGCACCATGTCATACATTTCAAAGACTATCAGACTTTTTAAACATGATGATGAGTTCAGTGAAGGCCTCACACAGTAAACCGTGTGAGAGCACAAATCGCAGCTATTTTTTCCTTCACAGATCACAGCTGTAACTAAAAGTTTTAGTCTCTGGGTCATGTTCAGCCTTGTACACGCCCACATTTAACCCAAAATTAATGTCACTGTGTGTATAAATGAGCCAGCAGATTACTGTTTTAAAAAGGTTAACACAGCAACTGCAGCCAAGAGAGCAGAAAAAAGAAATAGATGTGTTGGTGAATGAGGTCAGACTCAGATAAACGGGATCGGTTGCCTCACTAAATATAAGGAAGTATTTCTTATACCATCAGAGTCTGATGTGAACTGATCAGATTAACAAGGACATCAAGGCTGCATTGCATTTATCACTGACTGTGACATTTCAGATTTATGGTTACATTAGCAAAATGATCTTGTTCTTAGAAGTGGCTTTCAGACAGGGAGTCAGTTAATTGCGGAATATGTTTAACACCTGTGGTCTTTGCATTATAAGTGCCGACAGGAACCAGAGGCTGTGTCCGACCGCCCCCCTAATTATTCTATAGGGCACTATGTATTAGACTTAGGGAGATTTATTTTTGTCATTTTGTATACACGAGCGTATACAAAAAGAAATGTCGTTTAAAACAGCTCTAGACAATTTCATTTTTTAAAGTGGAGCTTAGAAAAACAGTAATAATAATATTGGTTACGCCATTTTAAATTATCCGTGATCACTTGACGAGCAGATATATCCCAGATTGCTTGGCGAAAGCTCTCCTAGTGGGATTTGTTCTGGCAACGACAAATAAAGATGGCACAGGCACTGTGCACTGAGGCAGTTACGTGACCAAATACAGCGAAAAGTAGTAAGTTAACTTAGTTCAGTATATACTGTACTATATAGTGGGCACTATATAGTCCCCGCTCTATATAGTGATAAAGGGATTTAAAAAAAACATTTTTATTGAACTTTTTTGGTTTCACACTGGAGAAATTTAACCCATCCCCTTAGGGAGCAGTGGACTGCCATTGTGCGGCGACCGGTGACCACACTGATCCCACCCAGAGTGGCAGCCCGTAGAAGTGGGGCTTGAACTCAGAACCTCCGGTACCCAAGCGTAATGCTGTAACCAGTTGCAGCTGGCCAATAAAAGGTGCTAGGGTGCCACCCTACAGGCTCAATGATCTTGATTTAGACATTAAAAAAAATTAAAATTAGATCATAACATTTATATTTTGATATTTTTCAGCTCTAGGAAGCAAAACTGTTTGCCCATAGACTCTTGCGATAAGCTCTACATGCGCAGTCGCTCCTCTGCAATACAGAAGTATAGGAGAGCTGAGGGTGCACAAAGCTACGCCCTGAGTTCACAAGCACCTTCGTCACAGTTGTTGTGCGGGTGATTGACAGGCCAAGTCGCAGGAGGAAAGCTGGAGGTGAAACCTTTTGGACCTGATCAGCTGAACATCAAAAATAATCAGCAGTCCAAAGACAGATGGAGAGGGTACACTCTGTATTTTTCCAGGACCTGTTTTAGCTACTAGGCTTGGCTAACTGCATGCAGCGAGGCTAACGCTTTATTTTACTGCAGTGACTTTTTCAAACGTCAGGATCTGACCCAGCATGGATAAAGAGAGGTAGGACTGATTAGAGCTCTTTTTAAAAAAGGCAAAGAATGAACAATCTTGGATTCACATGGCAAATAATATACCGTAATATAGTGTACTTTTTCTAGGTGTTTGATCATCTGCATAGTTACTCTTAAATAAACACATTCTCAGAAAATGAATAGTTTTTATATAATAAAAAAATAAAGCTAATAGCTTCTCATGATTAAACTGTTATATTATTTTTCTATGTTTGTGACGCCATATTGGACCATGCAAAACACAGATTTGCCTTCACAAAGCCTCAGAAGGGCAGGATTTATGTACAAAAAGTAAACCTGTATGTGAAATAATGTTTTGTTTTTATTAAAAGCAGTTTTTTAAGTGTTTTATATTGTTTTTTACCATTAATATAAATATACTGTTGTGGTAACTTAATATACGGTTGATTGGTTTTTGCTATACATCGATTTTGATGTTCTGCTCATAGATCAGAGACCAATGCTCTGATGAGTCTGATCACATGATAAAGCAGTCGTCATCCCATGTAAGGAAACACTGGTAATCCAGCATAGTCTCCAGCATAGCCACAGCATCCACCCCCCACCATTACCCCAGTTGACCTCAGCAGATGGCCGCTCACATTGAGCCTGCTTCTGCTTGAGGTTTCTTCCTGTTAGAAGGGATTATTTTTCTCTCCACTGTCGCTACAAGCATGCTTAGTGTGAGGGATTGCCTTCGAGTCAATGAGTCGATTCAATCAACTAGTTTTCCTGAGATAGAGAACTTTGAATCAATTTGACTGCATGATCTGGTTGAACTGTAAAGTGCTTTTAGGTGACATGTGTTGTGAAGTGGCGCTTTAAAAATAAACTGAATTGAATTGAACTGAAACTATGCACAGGTGGTTTGGTGGGTTCAAAATGTTTAAAGCAATCTCTGTGAATTCCTCACACCTTGTTGTGAGAAATTTACATTGATCTGTGGTACTGGTTGAGCCTAATTAATCAATGTAAAGATGGTAAGAAAATATTTAAATTGCAAACTTAATTTTTAATATAAGCTGGTTTATTCATCTTTTTTATTTGTGTTACAAAACAGTGATGTTCAGTCAATTTACAATTAAAGTTTAATTTAAGGTAAGTCTAAAATTAAAGAGAAAATTAAGAAATTACAATGCAATCTGGCTTCAGTTTCCCAGCTCTATCACCATCTGTGTCTCTACTTTCCTCTCTCTCAATTTCACACCCAGTTTGTTGTTTTTTAGATCAAAA